CATTTTTGTCCTGGCCATTTCTCCTAAACTACATTGTTCACAAGGCGACACATCCGACTCGCGGAGTTCTTGTTTGTTATTTTAATTTATATTTTAACGGAATTTCATACACGAATACACAGACAGAGTGACACTGGTGTAATATAATAATAATGCCGATGATAATAATAATAATAATAAACTTCAAAAGTGAAACAATTAAATACCCCGCTACGTTCCATTCCCCCCCACCGAGTGCCTCAAATTTTACCGAAAGTCACGTGACATGTGCGACCGATATCAGACGGAAGGTAAATCACGTTAAGATTTGAAGATATTTCTGTTATAAATTGATATTAATCAGCAACTTTTTAACTGGTCAGATGTCACTGGGTCATAAAATGTTGTTAGAGTATGTTACCGCAACTTTTGACCCTCTCTGGTGCGATATTTGTGTATAATGCAATTATTTAGCGTAAAGCGTAGGGGTCCGAGAGAGAACAGCCGATTTATGACACTTCGTTTGATGCGGGTCGGACTAACTTTGAATCGGCATAACTTTTTTAATAATCAAGCAATTAACATGCGGTTTAAAGCACATGAAAGGGAATTCATTTACGGAGGGAACCGTGTCAGGGATTTTTGTTTGCTCAATCAGCTACTTAATTATCTTTAATTACGTTATATGTGTGGTGAAAAAAGTCGCATAAAATGTTTGTCGTTACGTAATATTTTTTTGAGAAAAGATAGAAAAAATTTGAGACACGGTTCCCCAGATATTATAAGTATGTTTATTTTCCAAAAGTTTGATGACAAAAAAATAAAAAATAACTTTGATATGACGATTTAAAATTTTAGGATTTTTATTAAAATCCAATCATTTACAAAGGCATTATTTTCAAATATGTTATTTTTTATGATGATCAACGACATTTAATGCACAAAGATTTAATAAAAACAATTATTACTAAAATTAGTTGGTTTAAATGACATTTATGTGAGTACCACGGAAAGTGTCTGTTGTCACCTTAAATATAAAGGTAAATGAATACTTTTGGTTGAATTTTAAGTGCCTTTTTAGTCTAAGATGTACCCTGTAACATTAGTAATAATTAAACACGACTACTCCTGTGTTTGTAAAAAACTGGGCAAAATCGGCAGACAAACATCGAAAATCGCAGTTTTTAAAAAAATCATGAAAAAAAAAAATAAAGAAAGATTTACAATTTTTTTTTCTAAGTTTGTCTGTAGTTCCTAAGCTTTCTAAAAATGTATAGTTCCACCATATTTCATTATTTTTTAAAAATAGTGTTGACCTCGCAATCTCTATATCAGTTTGATAGCAACAAAAATCAGTATGTATTTATATGTGTTAGGAAAGTATGGTGGACTTTTGTTTGGATATTCTGCATATCCATGTCGCCCTTTTCTAATGACACCATTTAACCAACCTGGTGACGAAAAGGAGAGGAAGTTCAATACAGCATTGTGCCGGGCCAGAGTCCTCATTGAGCAGAGTTTTGGAATTTAAAGAGAAAGTGTCCTTGTCTCCAGGTCGGGCTTCGCATGTTATCGGAGAGGGCTGCACTTGTCACAATGGCATGGGTTGTCCTCCATAACAATGCCATGCAGAGGGATGAACCTCTTGATGACACTGGCGAAGTTGACATTGGAAATGATGCCAGCAACGTTTCCCTTCCAGAACATAATGATGGATCTGGAATTCGCCAACATTTACATCAAAAGTTCTTTTAAGCACAGGAAACTGAAGTTTAAAACAAAACAAAAATATTTTAACAACCAAGGAAATATCACGCCCTTATGTTATCTATTTATTGTTGAATTTTTGTTTTGTACCCTGTGCCTGTAGGCAAGGAAACCTTCATTATATAGAAATATATATTTGTTTGTTTTGCGTGTAATAATGAAATATATTTCACTGAGTGAACACCAGATGCAATATGTTCTTGAGTGGTGTAGCCATGATTGAAAGTAGGATATCTGGATTTTACGAATGAAACATTTTTCAATCTTATATGTAAAACAAATAAATTTTCTTTTTTATTTCATGCTTTTTAAGTGATTCTAAGTATTTTTTTCTGATTTTGACGCCTATTGTAACGTCGTGCATATACTTTATGACGTCATCACATAATGACGTCACTCCATCAATTTTAATATATAGTTTTTGTTTTTTGCATTTCTCTAATTTTGTTACATTTTTAACATGATGTATATGATGACATTGACATTCTTTTTCCTGAAGAAGCAAAATTTACGTAGGACAGCATTTATTTTTGCTTGTTATTCACTTTTAATCTGTATTAAGATACAGTCCAGCTACAGTGAAAATTTATATATTATAAATTTCACTAGTGGTTTGTCAGATTATAATCACCTGATATATTACAGCAAAACCCTGGAAAGCATGAAAAAAAATTCTAAAAAAGCCTCTTCTATTTTCAATGAAATTAAGAAATCTAAAAGAAAACAGAGCTTTTCAATTTTCAAAGTTTATTATGTTGATTTCAATAGACTTACTCCAGGAACGATGGTTAGGAAGCTACCCGCCTATATGACTGAAATACTGTTGGGAAAAGGCGTAAAATGAAACAAACAAACAAACAATAGACTTACTCAAGAATTAAAGGCACATTATGCCTCAGAAACCATTTAATATTTCCTTCTTCAAAAAAGGCAAATATGAGGTTCATAACAGTTAAGAAATGATTTTAGAGCATGTAAGATGCATACAATGTATTGCCTGGAGAAAGTAGTGCTGAATGTGAAATTATTGGTCAAACTTGTAAAAGTACCGAAATGTAAACAATGTATTATTATAAATTTCCATTCAAAATACTAAATCACTGCATTTATATATTGCCAAAAAAGCAGCAAAATAAGAAAATTGCTTAAGTAATTAGCCAATGAGTACTTAAAATACGTTTTTTTGAAAATATAAGCAGATATCAGAAATAAAGACATTGAACTATTGTAATTTCAGTACTAAATTTATCGAACAAGTTTAATAAAAATTATATCATGCTAGCCTCTGGCGAGCAAAATATTAAATATTAAACAAGTGCAATAAATTTAGAAATGAATTTACACAAGTGTTTTTTTCTATTATCACATATCCAAAATAAAATGTTGGTTCTTGTTGCTGGGTCATATGGGGGTTGCGTTCATTGAACGCCGCCTTTCCTTGTTGATCTTGTTTATCATATTTTACGCTAAGTAGGAATCACATTTAGTGATGTGCCTAAACTAAGCACATCTAAGCACATCCTTATGCTATATTTTTAAAACCTAAATGATGTCTAGTCAAAAAATTTTGCTTAGCAGACTGGCGTTTCCGTGAGTTTTACCCATGCCGGAAATTTCATCTGGCATGGGGAGGGGTGCCAGATGAGTCGCGTGCCAAACAACATCATTTAAGCGCGCTTTATGAATGAACCACGGTAAAATGACGTCGTGAACAGGCTCAATCAAACCGAGCCTGCAACATTTTCAATTTTGCCGTGTTGGGCTTTCTTTAGGGATTCTGTATTTATCTATTTTTAGAAGAGAAATATGTGCTTAGGATGACGTCGTTGTTATTTAAGTTGTAAGTTCATACGCTATTGTAAGAAAATAGTTATCGATGAAATGACTTTAATTTGAACATATATCATATTGAGGTAAACCATTTTGAATATGAAATAATATGGCAGAATATGCAAGAAAACATATTTGATATATGTTGTATGTGTTTTATTTATTTCGTCTAATGTAACCATGACCATTGCTAGAATTTCACTTGGCGGGGATTATTTTTATTTACACTTTAATGTCATTCAGGAACATATTGGGGCTAAGAGTGAGGTTTGGCGCGCCTAAAACCGGTTAAACCTCCCCATTGGTTTATTACCACTGACCGTTCCAAGGCGGTACCCCTCTGTGTTCCTTCACGTGTTTTTCAGGTCTGTATTGTTACTTGTTTTGGATGTTTACATGTTTTGTGATGTCTGTCTTGTTGGATTGTCGTTGACGGTAGATATTTTTATTCAATTCCCCCCACCCATTTTTAACCCCCTCCCCACCTTTTCATCCTTACAGCCCTTATCCCTTTAATTCCCTTATGGGCCCGTTTTAGTTGATATCAATGGGCCCGTTTTAGTTGATATTATTTCACATTACATGTCCCACTCCTTTCACCCTTGTGTCCGCTCCGGGTTTTTGTTTGGTGCCTTCTGGGTGCCATGCTTGGGTGTGTCGGGGCCGCGTCCTGTGAACGTTGCCTTTGCCTTGTTGATCTTTATTCTTGTTTTTTTTTTATAAACAAACTGTTATTTATTAAAAATGCCCAAAAAATACTAGAAACCATAATTTATATTCTTGTTGTATTCAATATTTGAGGTGAAGTTTCAAGTCCATAGCTCATCTAAATTTTTATATTCCCCATGACAAGGAACAAGTAATATTGTAAACTATGAACTAAAGCAGATATCAATTCTAAATCATAAACTCATTTCACAAAGTTCATATTTGTATCTGAAATAGTGCAAATGTAAAAACAACTGGTTGCTATTATTAAGGGAAAACAACATTTAAATAAAAAGTCACCTGTTGCTGTACCAAGTAAAAAGTTTTCTTAGTAGTGCCTGCTTTATAATAGATAAATACATAATTCCTAAAGAAAGCCCAACACGGCAAAATTGAAAATGTTGCAGGCTCTGTTTGATTGAGCAACAATTCACTTGTTGCTATGGAAAGTTAATGTTTTCCATAGCTGTTAGAACAGCTAACAGAAATGGTATTTTGTATATGGTCATTTGGTCAATTTCAAATAAAGAACACACACACGTAACAAATTGAAACAAGATAAATGGTGTACCAAACAGACAAAATATGTTAATTACGAGGAACAGGCAAGAACTGAACTAGAACTCCGCGAGTCGGATGTGTCGCCTTGTGAACAATAAAAAACAGAAGGAAAATTCTGGAAACAAAATGATCCCTCGGAATTTTTGTGACTTTATACAAACCTTGGTACTAAGACATTATATTTCTGCAACAAAGTTTGTCTAAGCTGCTCTGCACCACCAAAGCCATTTTCGATTTCCATCTATGTAAATGGAATTACAATTATGTTAATAAGAGGCATGAGGTAATATAAGATAAAAATTGTATTTTTAAATGGCACGTTTTTCTTCAGCTTGACTTTATAGTTTCAAGGAAAAAATGAGTTAATTGCATCAAATTTTAGTCAAATATACCATTTTCAAAAAGAAAGAAATTTCAAAAAGATCATGCATAAAACTGGGAGTCATTGAAAAAATTTCATATAAAATGCTCAATTTATACATAAAATAAAGATAAAATAATAGACCATTTTTTTCAATAACCTGATAAAAGCTCATGTTGTCAAGTTTAACAACTGACATTCGTGTAAATTATCATGGATATTTGAACAATTTGAGAGTTAAACATAAGTATTAAAAGCTTAAAATTAATACCGTTGCATATCTAACAACATCATTCACATCTTCTATTATCAACTTTCTTCTCCTCAGTCCAAGAGACGGTATAACTTTCCTCTTCAAGTAGCTGTAACTAAAAAGACATGACAGTGTTAGAAGAGGGACTATATTTGTCAATTAAATTAAAGTAGGTTTTATAATACTCTAAATAACCATTTCATATGTAAAGTTGCAATAACTCACCTGATATTGTATCCATTATTCTTTAGCAAGAGATAATGGATTATTTTGTAAGAGTGGCCTTCCTTGAAATATTTCTTTATTTTCATCTTCAGATCTAAAATTTAAAAGTTAGATCTAGAAGATATTAAATTAACATGTAAACTGAAATAATACTAAGGGAAATGTAATATAAATCAATAGTTATGAAATAGGAATATGTATTAGTATTGATAAATATGTTATTTGGAAACCTATGTAATAGACTTTATTATTAATTTGCACATGAAGTAGAAATAAATTGTTTTTACATCTGTTTCAATTTTAATTATAAACAGTTACTTCTAATACAACTTTTAAAATAAGTTTCAAATTTAAATAACTAACCTTCGGACACCATATTCAAAAACGGAACTTTTACCCACCATCCGAGTGCTAATGACAACTCTATTTCACCTGAAAGTACAAAGTCATGGTATTTTAACACAACAAAAGTATATATGATTTCATTTCACACTTAGATAATGTTGTATGCAAGTATCATCAAATTATTTTATGACAAATTTAAATGTTGCCATAACAAAAAAAGAACATTTCATTAATTTGGACATTATGCGACATTACACCCTCTTTCTAAATGAATAAAATCAATGCAATTAATGTCATTTCAGGACTATTAAAATATAACTTAATATATTTTTGTTTTTTAAATAAATAAATGATTGTTTTGCAGAGTTCTGTTTTATTTATTTTTTCATTTAAGTTATTGAACACAAATTATTTCATTCTATTTATTTATTATTAATGCTCAAAAACTTTGAAAAGGCAAATTACCTTTATGTGGTAATCTTGTGAATGTTTAAATGAAATAGCATATTAACCAAATTGCTTGTAAAAAATGCAGGCCCATCTCTCAGCATGCCAAAACTTGCATGCCATGTTGCTCAGCATACAAAGTAAATGTGACCTTGCCAGTGTGAAAGCAAAAGGGGTTATCTATTGGCCAATGCTCCTATAAAGTTTTAAGGTTGCAGAGTAATTGGATGAAAACTGTTTTGACACACAAGGCCAATGTGACCCTGCACTTTGTCCTAATAACCCCAAAATCTATTGGGGGTCATCAACTGCCCAAGACCTATCAATGCACCTGTAAAAATTATGGGCCAATGAGTTGTCGAGTTGTGATAGTTAATATCAATGTGACCTTGACCAGAGGGGTCAACAACTTCCAAAGTAAAAAACTACCTAGAGTTTAGATATTAAGCATGAAACATCTTCTTGTAAGTGTCTGCAAAGTTTGTTCAAATAAAAGCCCTGGGGTCAAAACTGGCCCCGCCCCAGGGGTGTCATTGTTTTTAACTATATGTGTATAGTAAAAACTTAAAAAATCTTCTTTAAAAAAACCCAATGAGCTAGAGCTTAGATGTTGAGCATGAAACATCTTCTTATGGGTGTCTACCAAGTTTGTTCAAATAAAAGCCCTTGGGTTGGGGGGGGGGGGGGGAGGTCGGGGCAGATCATTGTTTTTCATTATATGTGTGAAGTAGAAACTTAACATCATGAAACATCTTCTAATGGGTGTCTTCCAAGTTTGTTCAAATAAAAGCCCTAGAGTTTAAACTGGCCCTGCTCTGGGGGCCTATATACAGGTGAGCGACCTCAGGGCCATCATGGCCCTCTTGTTTTCATTTAAGCATAGACATTTCTGTTAAACATTTATTGACATATCATGATGTGCAAAAAATATAGAACATTTGAGTGCTATCCCTTGATACTGATACAGAGAGATGTTTACATCATAATTCATTTTTCTTTCATAGTTTTGTCTTCCTTACTGCGTCCAGTATTTAATTAGTCGAGTTTCGCTGTCTCTTGTGACAGCTCTTGTTCTGATGCTTATGTTTTTGAAAACTTACAATGTGCAATTTTTATTGTCATCTGTTGGTCATTGAGAGGTTTACTCTTTTGAAAGCTGGCTTTTTTATAAGGGCTATTTTTTTACATGACATAAAAATGGTCAATATGTGATTTTCACATTGCTTCTCTGTGATATTTTTGATAATTCTTTTAACAGAACTTTGTGCCTACTGATAAATGTTACTTGATTTGTTTAAAAGATATGCAAAGTGTTGAAATAATGTATGACTGATTTGTGTAAGCACAGGAACTTGAAATAATATCTAACAATTGATATTAATAAAAAATATTACAATGATTCCCCATTTGCATTAAGATATCTTGTAGGGTTTTTTAGCTCACCTGTCACAAAGTGACATGGTGAGCTTTCATGATAACAATTTGTGTGGCATCCGGCCATCCACACTTCCGAATAGGGATATGGGGCCATCTAACTGAAAACAGAACAAAAGAATACCACAGAGTTTATTATGTAAATTTTATATCTGCTTTTATTTATAGTTTAAAATATTATTTGTTCCTTGTCATGGAGAGTTTCTATATTCAGATGAGCAATTTCAGGGCCATCATGGCCCTCTTGTCTTAGCTGATACATCAGTATAGAATTTGTAAAAAAGGAAATATGGAAAATTTAGGAGTATTGAATTGTTATAACAAATATCTAAATGTGCACTTACAGGAATTTGTTGTGTCGATTGAACTCTTATTTCTCCAATAGGTTGAATACAGTATCATATTGTAAAGTTCTTGCAAGAAGTTTTTGTGTTAAAGTAATTTGTAGTATAGGACATTCAGCTTTGGACAATCAACCAGGCAATATTAGCTTAAAAAAACTTAAAATTGGCAAGAAATGTGTTTAGAATCAATTTTTAAATTTTTACCATCTAGTTGTGATATATATTTTGTATGATGATTTTATTATCTGAATTTAAGATTTTTTGTCTATGAATGTGTTAAAATGAAGATATATGATTTGGTGCATTTATTATAGTAAGTTAGTAACCATGTATTGTTACATAAAATGATTGAAAAGATGAATGTATTGATAACTATACACTGATCATCCAAGTGCTCAAAACATATAATACATTTTTAAAATAGTATTATAGTGTTTGTTGTTTATTGTAATGATATAGTAGAAGTTTAGAGCAATGTAGCATTTTTGCTTGCATTGCCTTGTGGAAAAACACCAAAAGTGACATAAATCCAGATCATGGGGTAACTTAAGGATTGGCCCCACTCATGATATCTTAAGTTTGTAGAGACTTAAAACCATCTTTAAAATCGTTTGCTTATAAACTATAAAAGTCCAGGACTTTGATGTTTTATAATTTGTATTAAACAATGACCGGAGGTTAAAAGAGTGTGCTTAAACCCTTGATAAAGAAGTTCTCTTTATTATTTCTGAGAAAGATTGTATTGAATTGTCTCTGAGTATGACTTTTAAGAAGTCTTTATCTTTAATTATTGTCCCCCGCTTTTTCGTAGAAAAAAGGGGATATCGAAAGAGGAGGTCTGTCTGTCTGTCTTTCCATCAGTTTGTCCGTCACACTTTCCTGTTTGGTCCACAGCTATGTCATTTATCAAGGGAATTTAAAATAACCTGGCACATATGTTTCTTATAATAAGATGATGTGTCATGAGCAAAACCTGACCCCTACCTCCAAGGTCAATGACACACTTGATGATTGAAGGTCAACATTGTCTATTTGATGGTATATGTCGTCTCCTGTCCATTACATTCTTATCCATGAAGTGATTTTGAAAATACTGGCCACAAATGTTCAAAATAATAAGGCCAAGTGTAATTTACAACAACCAGTCGCCTACCTCCAAGGTCAAGGTTACAGTTGGAGTTCAAAGATTAAAATAGTCTGTTATAGTGTATTTTTTGTTTCCTGTCCATAACTTCATAGACCAAGTGATTTTTTAAATATTATTTGGCTTTAATGTTCACAATAATAAGACAATGTGTCATGCGCAACAACCATGCGCCTGCCTCCAGGTCAAAGTTGGAAGTCCAAGGTAAACCTAGTCTGTTTTAGAGTATATTTTGTTTCCAGAGCATAACTTTCTCATCTATCAAGGGATTTAGAAAATACTTGGTACAAATGTTCACAGTAAGAAAATGATGTGTCATGCACTACACCAGGACCCTTATCTCCAAGTTCAATGCCATACTTAGAGGTCAAAGCTTAATATGTTTTTTATGGGACAGTCCATAATTTTTTATTGTTCAAGGGATTTGGAATAACTTGCACAAATGTTTATAATAATGGGACCATGTGCCATATGCAACAGCCAGACTACCTTCAATGTCCAGGTCATACTTTAGTGCAAAAACTTAACATGGTCTGTTATATATTTTGTGTGCGGTATATCACTTTTTCATCAATCAAGGGATTTTAACTTAACTGCACAAATGTAAACAATAATATGATGACATATCATGTGCAACACCTTGACCCCTACCTCAAAGGCCAAGGTCACATTTGGAAGTCAAAACCTAAAATAGTCTGTTACAGTGTATGATGCCAAGTCAGGGCCAAGCAAATAAGATGTCATTGGTGAATTGCCCATATTCCTTGATTGATGACTGGACAGGAAATATACCCTGTAACAGACCATATCCTAACTTTGAAATATTGAAAACAAGTATACAAATGCATTTATGTATACCCATACACAGGATGTTATTTCATTATATTTCTTTTATGAATTCCTTGTAACTTGAATCTTGCATTGATCAAAATTTGGCACTGAATGTCCAAACCCCATACCTCAATCTTTTGAAATAGCACACTTTTGTGCTTCATGTAAAACTTCCCATATATATGGGTGACTGTGATAAATACAGTTTGCTTGCAATATATAAGGAATAAATCCATGTCATATCAAATATTAAAATGGGAATGCAATGTTAAACCCGTGTTTTTATTCGCGAAAATTTGCTTTGGTCATTATGCACATATTTACACAATCATTAAAAAGTTTTATTTATACATATTGGGGCTAAGCGTGGGGTTTGGCGTGCCTAAAACCGGTTTAAACTCCCAAGTGGGGTAACTATAACTGACCGTTCCAAGGTTGCACCCTTCTGTGAACCTTCACGTGATTTTTATGTATGTATTAATACTTGTTTTGAATGTTTACATGTTTTGTGATGTTTGCCGTGTTGGATTGTCGTTGATGGTAAGTATTTTCTTACCCCGTCACCCATTTTTATACTCAACCCCCTTTTTCACCCTTACAGTCCTTAAATCTTTTATTCCAATATAGGCCCATATTATAATTCGGATATTCATAAATATCGATGATTAGAACTAATTCCAAATTTAATTGTATCACTGTGTTTATCCAGTAACGTGCCAATAACGCAGGAATTGTGCAAAAGTAGCGCAGACTAATATAATCTGTAAAAGATGTTTTGGTTGATTTTTATTTTAAGACTGGTCTCATTGAATATTTTGCAATGATAGGTTATAACCAAAACATAATTGCCACAGGTAAAAAAGTTTTATAGCTTATTAAGGGGGGGGGGGGGAAATAGCCATCCAAAAATTCACATTGTAATGCACGGCTGATACAACATTACATCAAAGGTCAAGCCATAGTCATAATTGCGAAGACGAAGATGTAATATTGTGCCGGCTATTCTAAGAGCTCGAGGAACAGTACAATGATATACAAGAATAGCATAGAATTACATAGAGTATTATAGTATTACGTCACACAGATATAAAATTAATCAACTTCTGTCTCTCTCATTTCATAACAAATGATTTAAACTTGCAACGAAAACCTTTGACCGAGACAGAAATTAATATTCCAAGATTCGTTTTGTTTCCGGTGGAAATAATAGGAGAATTAAATATAAAACATGAACAATAATATTCCTTAAGACATTGTAAATATTGACACTCATGCTAGTTAATCAATAATGTGACTAGTCACACTTGCATTCAATGATTAAACGAAAGCAACATGTACACTTTATCAACATTACAAAAATGCATGATGAAAATGTTACACTCAAAATGGTTGCAGACAAAAAATGAAACAACTGCACACTTTTGTGAGATATCAAAATATGTGTGATGCTAAAAGAGAAAAAAACGCCATTTTAATATTTATTGCATCCGTTACTTGCTATGTACGAAAGATTTCAGTTTGCATCTTGGCGTGAATATAATACCCTAAAGCATTATCTTTTAGTATTTTATACCTTATGATATAAGGTATTAGGTAAGAAATACTA